GGCCACGTGTTGCGCATGCCAGCCCATCGACTCCCGCGACGTGCGTTGTTTGCTCGCCGGGGGTGTGGATGGAAGATGAGGAGAGGTGGCCAAGCGATGACTTGGTCGAGGGGAATGTAGGCTTTCACTTCGAAGCTGGCCTCAGTTAGAGCGTTTCGGCTTCCTGGTTGGGGTCCGAAAGACGATTAACACGTTTGGCTGGATACACTTTTTGATATGTCTAGGAGCCCACCTTACTGGGGTTCGTGCTGTGAGTTTCTTTATCCCATCCCTCTTAGTCTCTCCCTCCAACCACGATCTCATTATTTAGCATTTTATAGTTTGGCGTAGTGAATTATTTTTTTCTGCTGCATAGTAGCCGGCAGGTAGCTTACCGGAACGATGCCCATCCGTTACCGGCTGCTCAGCTGGCTTGCACCTGTTGTATTTCATTCCCTTTTTTCTTTTAGGTATTGCGGCACAGCGGCTGAAGTGTTTCCCACCTCTAGCTAACGTGTATAGTGTGTGTGTGTGTGTGCTCGGCATGGCGACGGAAGAGAAATAGCTCCCGCTCCGTAACTCGCTCGTTTTTGTTGGACAGCCAATGATCCCACTGCCGACCGCTTTGAAAACACGCTGCCAGAGTATTGGAGAATGTGGAAGGCGAAGTTTATGCATTTCGTCACACTGACCCAGTTGGATACTCAATCGATGGCTTACGAGTTGGCGATGTTCAGGCGCGCTGTGGATGATGTAGCCAGGAGGGTGCTCGAGACACTGGAGCTCAACGAGACCGTTGAGGAAGTCCAGCTTTCGAAAGTGCTGAGATGATTCGGGGCGTTTTACGAGGGACAAGCAAATGAAATGTATCAGAGGCCCTTATTTTTTGGTCGTAATCCATCTCCAAGCGAATCGTTCGAGACTTACATCGCAGAACGGAAACTGCAACTTGCACCATTGCATGAATGAGTCCTTGATACGTGATCGCATTGTCATCGACATGAAGAATGATAAGCTCACTCTGCGCCTTCTGCGACAAAGGAACCTGTTTTTGGAACGACGTCGGACATCTGCCTGAGTGAAGCAAGGACGACGCAGCAGTTCGAGCATGTGAGCGCGGAAACAAACACCGATCTAGGCGCGGTATCCCGAACCAGCAATAGTCCGCCCCAGACACCCGAGGGACAGGGTCCGAGTTGTCAGTTTTGCGGTCGTACATTTCCAAGAAAGAAGATTTACCCGAACGTGTACAAAATGTTCCAAGGAAAGCCACTTTGCTTGCTTGCTTTTGCAGATCCGCCAATGTAAGCTCACTGGTCGAGAGCGCCAACGAGTAGACAGGAATTTTCGTTAAGCCACTTGGAAAATCGTGGAGAACATAAATGTGTTTTGGCTACATTTTCGATTCAAGGACGACCGGTGCGCTTCCAACTGGATTCAGGGGCTACTGTCAACATCCCACCTGAGAAGTACTCTCTGGGAATGATATGTGACAGAACTCGGAATGGCCTCAGAATGTGGAATGGTTCAAAACTGCGACCGAAAGGTACCACCACTTTGAAGGCCATCAATGCGAGAAACGATACAGAACACCAACTGGATTTCCTGGTAGTGTCAGGAGACCTTTTGCCTATTTTGGGCATAGGTTCTATTCAGTCTGGGTTTGGTTTCTTTTAACCATGAAAGTTTTGTCCATTCGTTTGCAGCTAGCATAGATATTGTTGACAGGTACCCAAGCGTGTTTGACGGGGTCGTAGGGAGATTCGTAGGGTGTGCTCATTTATCTTTAATCGATTCCGCTAAGCCAGTAGTGCTGCCGATCAGAAAGGTGCCTATTGCCTTATGTGAGAAATTTTTAGCCGAGCTGCAGCGTTTTGCTAGTCAAACTTGTGGAGCCGACAGATTAGGTTAGCCAGGTGGCGATCGTTACTAAGAAATATGGAGAACTACGCGTGTGCGTTGATACAAAAGTACCTAACGCCGCGCTCAGGAGGGAGCACTATACGCTGCCGACGCTAGACGGCGTACTTCTTGTGCTATCCAGAGCTAGAATATTCACAAAAGTCGACCTTGGTTCGGCGTTTTGGCACGTATTACTTGACGAAGTGCCAAGCTACGTGACCACGTTTGGGACACCTTTCGGGCGTTTCCGCTGGTTTCGTCTACCGTGTTGACTGAACCTATCTAGTGAAATATTCACGGAGCTACTGATGTAGGCTTTGGACGATTCTGTTTATCAGATGACGTTTTGGTTTTTGGCGCTTCGCGAGAGAAGCACGACCAGAACTTCGACCGATTTTCGCAGCGCTGTTTTGAAAAGAATATCAAGCTAAAACGAGAGCAGATCGAGTTGCGTAGGACGGAAGTGGTATTTCATGGACACTCGCTAAGCTCCGAAGGACTGAAATCACACCCAGAAAAAGTCTGGGCCATTAAAGCGATGCCTCGTACTGACGTGAAATCCGTTAGCATGCTGAATGGGATGGTGTATTACCTAAGACGTTTCTTGCCCAGATTAGCCGATGTAATGGTACTGACGCATAAGAATAAGAAGTGGCATTGGGACGCGGAGCAGGAGAGAGTATTTCAGCAAATAAAGGAATTGATCACGAGCGCCCTCGTTCTCGCTTGCTATAGCCCAGCACTCCCACTCGAGATCCAGTGTGACAGCAGTGAGTATGGTATCGAAGCCATACTTATGCACAACGGTAAGCCTATGGACTTTCACAGCCGGCCGCTGACAGACTCCGAGCGTCGTTACGCGCAACTAGAAAAAGAAATACTTGCATTGGTTTACGCCGTGGAGCGTTTCAATGACTATACGGTTGGCGGCAAATCCACCGCCTTTACCGACCACAAGCCCTTGGCATCGATCGCCAGTAGGCTGCTCTATGTTGTTCTACGCCGTCTGCAAAGGATGCTTATTCGTCTACAGTAGTATGACCTAGAGCTTGTCTACCGGCCAGGATCCCAGATGCACATAGCGGACACGCTATCAAGAGCGCACCTGTCAGACACGCCCGAAAAGGAAGCAGACTCAGACGTTGTCTATGCAACCCAGTTGATCGCCGTCATTGAGGAACGCTCGCAGCAGCTCCAAACGTCCACTGAGGAGGACGAACTGTGCAGGCTACTGAAGCACTCGATAATTAACGGATGGCCCGAAGACAAGAAAAAGCTACCTAAGGAGCTGACTCCATTCTTCCATTTTCGCGACTAATTCATTACCCAGGATGAATCAATATTCAAAGGTATCAGGATAGTAGTTCCAAAGGCATTGCAACGTTCGATTGGCCATCTACTTATCGGTACCATAGCATTTCCAGCCCCCATCACAACCCAGCGTTAAGCCACGTATCGTTTGCGACAGTAATTATGATATTACTATTTTCCTTGCTTGTGAAAAACTCACGTGATGTGGCCTCAAAACAGCCGCAATGAATATTTCAATGAATCACGGGCAATGCTGATCTTCAGCAAAGCAGAGACGCTCATGGGATACCTTGAGAGCAACAACAGCAACACGGATTCCGCTGATATCGGTCCTGCACTACACATTTGTCGCTAACCCGAAGAAACTAGACGGAATCGTTAGAGGCCGGAGTGGGACTCGATGTCGTTTACCTGGACTTCTTTAAAGCCTTCGACCACCTGGGCCATCGCAAGCGTCGAAGCTATGGAATCGGTGGCCCTGTGTTGGGTTTGTTAAGCAACTTCCTCATTCAACGTCAGCTCATTGTGAGCGTCTGCAACTCCATTTCTGCCTCAGTTGAACCTCAATGTGGTGTGCCCCAAGGTTCGGTACTGTGTCCACGTTCGTTTCTAGCTCCAATGCAAACTTGTGAGCATACGCCATCAGCGTACCTGTGAATATCGACTTAGGGGCAAGCAGCTGCAACATGCTTCCCAGAAAAGTGACCTAGGGGTAATCGTGCAGGATGGCCTTGGTTACTCCAAACAGGCTGAAAAGGCATCGACAAGACCCATTCAGCACCTTGGACTGTTTCGGAAATTTCGAGGCATCTATCGTTCTGCAAATGCTGAACGCCTGCATGAGGCCTCACGTGGAGTGTACGATTCAAGCCTAGCGTTTCTAGCGCAAGCACGATATTGCTACGCTTGAAAACCCACAACGTAAAGCGACTAACTTCGTTAGGAGGTTGTTCCACATCCCCTAACAACACAGACTGCAAATCCTGGGATTGTACAGCGGTGAATATCGGCGCCAACTAGGAGACATTGTGGTCTACTTAGTACTGACTATCCCAAATAAGGCTTGTCGCGACCTGCCGCAACTCAGTCGCAGTACAAACCTGAGAGGCCACAAGCTCAAAATAGCCACACACTATAGTCGACTTGATCGTATAGCATTTAGTATAGTATTTAGAACATGGAGTACCCCTCCAACCCACGTCATTTTTGCCCCAACACAAACGCTTTTTAAGAAACTCCTTGATGAAACACCCCGTCCGTATCAGTCAGAGGACGAAAAAGCACCGGTGCCAGTGCACCGGCACCATGTGCTCACCAACTTTTTATATAAGGTACGGTGAGGAAACCTACATCCATGTTCATGTGGATAGCTTGGTGAATCACTTTCCATGTTATTATTTTAACCTTTGGTTTTATAGTCCTACGGACTTGTCAACAAATCGCTTTTTGCCCCACCATAAATCATTGTCCATTGTATTCCTTCGTCTGATTTTCACGGCACTGTGAGCACAGTAACGCAGTTGCATTTGCCTGATTCATGTATTGCACTCGCATCGACTACCACCTTTCCTTTCCCTTTTTTGTACAATAACGCCTAGTTTTTCTGTGTACCAAATCGATTGCAAAGAGCGCGCGGATATGCTTTGTTCTCTAACTCTTGTTCACCATTAGAACCACGGAGTGTTTTAGCTGATCACTAGTTCATCTCTCCCCTTCATCTCCGCACGTTCAGAATATCTTTTTGACTCTTGCCAGCTCTCCTCGCTCCGACCTTATCTTCTCATTCCGGATCACTTTTGCCTCACTAGCTGCTGGTCACCACCTACCTTGTTACCTTTGCGTGGTCGCTGCTGTTCGTCGCATTCGCCGCCCCGGTGACGCTTTGGGTCATGTTGCACACGGTATGTCGCGAGGAAACTGAATACTGGCGTGGTATCAGTGCTGACAAAGATGAGACGGAATCCACGTACACATTCAACCTGACGCATTATGGTGAGCGAAGTAGGACTGATCGATAGTATTCTAGTTGCTACATATATTCTACAGTCCATGTTCATGGAACGTATTGGTTTTGAAAACCTGTGTCCTTTTGAGATATTTAATATATAATTTGTTAGAGGCCAGAAATTGTTCCTTTCTTTGTTAACATTCGCTTTTACCTTAACATGTAGGTAGGACCTTCCTGGTCCAATTCAAGCCCTGTTAATAACTGCGATTGATAGTCATTCTTAACCATGTCTCTCCGGTGTTTCCGGCGGATCATCAACTTGAGTTGCAAACGTTTTTCTTCTCCGAACCATTCCGCGCCTTTGCGGTATTGCCCACGTTTTCCGTTTTTAATGATAGTGATGTGAATGGTGTAGCTATTTCCATCGCTCTGTACCACCCCCGTTCTTAGATTCATATACTTCCGCTCCAGGTGGCTTCCACACCGTTTTCATACGCCACGTGTTTAAGTTAGTTTATTATTACCATGATACAAAATCGTTTAATTTATCTCTTTTTAATCAATTCATTTATGCTTCCACTTTCGCACGAAATTGGGATTTTGTCATTCACGAGGTAGATCAAGTCTCATTGTTCACAGACGCTGATGCTCTCTTCCACACACCAGTTTCTCCTCGAGAATTTCAATATGATGTGCACTCCTTCTATCAACCCCGTGTAGCGTTGTCGGCTCCCACCGATAATCATTGTGTGGCTTCATTACATTATTTTCATTGCCTTAATTCCACTTTCACTATCGTCATGAGCCATTGCATCGAATTAAAACTTACGATTATGAATTCAATACGTTAACCTCGTTGAATGACCTCACCATATCCAGTTCAGACAATCCCAAAAGTAACAGACAACCGCTGTTCCTTCTGATTCTATCAGCAGCTTGTGCCCGCTTAGTTGGACGTTCTTTTTGTGGGGCCACTTTTTGACTTACTAGGTCATGATGGACCTTCGCATTGATTACAGGAGAGCTCACTCCCTTGCGGTTCATGTCTTCACGTTGCAGAACACAGAGTTTGTTGGATTACCCAAGTCAGCTGCACGTTATCCTTGAAAACTATACACTGCAGTTTTTTGGATTATCCATTCATCACTCTCATGTGCCAACCTGCAGTCGCTTTGAACTAATTTTGGGATCTGAGTTTCACGGATCCACTTTAAAAGAGCGATGCGTGAAAGTTAGTGCCACTTGTTAACCTATCCGACGTTTACAGTTGTAGGAACCTATGTGGATTAAAACCGTTAAACTAAAACGCGAGTTGGACTTCTCACTCTCATCAAATGTTAAGCTAGAGATAGACTTGCACGTTAGTCTGGAAAAAGCTACTGAGGAGAAAAGGCAAGGATAAATATCACTCTCCACGGTTTTTTGTTTGCAGATGATACCCCTTGGTGCGTATTCCGAGAGGTCTGTTCTATGCTTCCTGTCTCCAGCATTTAACGCATCAGTCCGTCTCATAAGGCTGCGGCGTAACTGGAAGTCTGTTCGGGGATTTCATCCGGATCTCCGCGCTCACTTACCTGACACAGTGTGGAGCACTTGGAACAAACTTGGAAGCTACTGGAAATTCATAAGCATGTTTAGCTCGTTTGTGTGCCTGTGGATTTCATATGGGATCTGCTTGCACTCGTTCGCATGTATTCCTGGCTGGTTCAGAACTATTTGCTTGTTTCTTCTAAACTGGAAATTCGTTCATCTTTCTAGCTGTGAACTACCTTTGTGTCTTGGCATGGTTGCACCTTATTTACTGGTGATTATCTCGTTTGATTCGAGTTGTCACAAACCACCGAGCAATGAATGAGCTTTCCCGTCGTCATAGTCAATCCATTGCACCGGTGCTCTGCGCTAATCGAGCTGAGCTTATTGATAGTAGACTGTGGTGGCGTTTGTTAACTTTTAACAGCAATGTCATCAGCTTCTCCACAGCGTCCACTGAGAAGTAGGATGAGACTTTTCTTGATCTCCAATAATTGCCTTAATGGATACGTGTTACTATGGGGGCATTTGGTGGTTTCCCCTCAGCACAACCCGATAGACCACGGAGACACGCAGAACATCGCATCATGTTAGGGTCCAGTCTAGTTGTTCTAGGCCGTTCAGTCGGCTGACTTACTGATTTGTTTTGTTTGCATCACTATATTATTCTTCTCATTATGTTCACTCTGTATCATCATGGCAACATGACGTTATGTTTCCATGCCCTGCACATTGGGTTCCGCATCACGTCGGCCTACCGAATTCGACCACAGCACATGCATACTACGCAAGAATTGTGTGTTTTACTCCTTAATCTTTTCTTCACGCTCATTAGGCTCCCTTCCCCTCATCCTCCTCAGTTTTTCTATCTCGAAGAACTCTTGTGCTCATTTAGCACCCGAAAATGCTTGTTCGCTTGTTTTTCTCACTCATAAAACGATTTTCCTTTACTTCTCGCGTTAAAATCTCAAATTTAATTTCTCCCTTTTCTGTGTACTGTTCCACATCTCATAGGCTTGTATCGCCGGCCATTGGACACAAGTGTATATAGTGAAACCGCCAACTCACCTAGCGCCGTTACTCAGTTATGCCAAGAAGTAAGTTTTGCACAGATTCATTCACCATTGCACAGCTCTGTGATGTAATAACAGAGTCATTGCCGCTACCACTCCATATTCATTTCATTTTGGCGTCTGGGGCATGTCAACTGTTCCGGAAAACGATCTCGTCGCCCTATGTTTCTTTGTCGCAGCTTAATTGCTTCTCGATTGCATTTCGGCATTGTTTTCTTAGCTATGCGCCATACTTAAAAGGACCATCCCGAATCTTCCAAAATCTATGCCAACCGACATTTTACAGATGATTCGCTACTGTGAAACTGAGTACCAGTAACATCCGTTTACCGTAAGCCTTCTTCTAAGGTGGATCAGAGTGAAGCATTAAGAATGACAGCCGACTAATCAAATTTCATGCCTGTTTTGACAGCTTGATAAAGCTGTTTCATCGATACTAAAACACCTTTTCACCGTCACAAAATAGTCGTGATGTGCAGTTAGACGCAACGGTACTCAGTGAATGTGTTACCCAAGGACAAAGATTCAAGCGATATAATCATTGAATCAGCTCTCTCTCCCCTACGTTTGCTAGTTTTTGGTTGCCTGTTCAACAGTCTCCCCTACAAGATTACCAGTTGACAAAATTGACGCTTCTACCGGCATTAATAGCGAAAACGTTAACACCTCAGCCGCATTCAGAGCTGAATTTGATTTGTGCACTTACTCATCAATAACTTTGCTTATCATGAATTACCAGCGATAGTCCCCTCTTACTCCCTGCATTTGTCAGCCTGAAATTCTGATTTTTTCTATTTTATGCGGCAGCTTGCTCTAACCTTGTATCGTAGCTTAATTAACTCTTTTCGTGCAGGGCTGAATCAGGTTATGGGTGCTTTTACTAACCAACTGCCTACCGCTCACTGGTCTACAGTTGTTGCAGAAAGTGGAAAATATGTGATGTGTTCCATCCAAAAAATCCAATCGAAACCGCATACAAAATGTTATTTGTGATGTTTTTATTCTGCAATGACAAAAAGAACTGCTTACAAAATATCATTTTCGATAATGTGTCTTCATGGTTAAAATGTTGATGACCTTAATTCCCGTCAGTACTTACAAGTTCCACCTTAAAAATAAACAGGAAACTTTTTACAAAAATTTAATTTTTTTCTTTAAATGTTTATCACTAACCAAAATCTACCTTATGACCTAACAAATAATGAAAAAGTACTAAATTACTTCGGAATTAAATGGGTTAACAGATCGATCGCCGTTTATTTGCATACTTAAGATCTGCTTCACTTTTACTGGTGTCAGGAAAACATTACTCATTTTGTTGAATACGTTTACGCCTTTTGTACATCATATGTAACTAGTTAGCCTGTCCCGTATCAGGGTGAACCTGATAATATAAAATTTTTGTCTACTTGTGGTTCTGAATGTAGGCACTAGAATCATGTATTCTGTGTTGCGATTTTCATATCTGTTTTCCAACCGAAATTTCATAGAGCAGTGTTCACTATGCACTATACCACACAAGTATGTGTAGGAAACTAAATTTTGAATTTAATCTACCTAGCTACCTACCTAGGCTCAAATTTTTATTCATTATCTCTATTATTATAAGGAACACGTGTGGAGTAACCAAAGATCCGTTTGGTGAAGACGCGTTGAACGTTTACTATATCCTTCAAGTCGTATTTACGTAGGTTGCTGAACAAAACGCATCAGTATTCTACCAATGGCCTTATATTGATTTTCTCTACCATGAGTCTTGTCTCTTTCAGCGTTAGTAACTGAGTAAGATGTCCCATTATTTGCATTAGTTTAGTAACAACACAGTTCGCACATTCGCTGAAATTTCGGAGCTGGAACGCCTCCTTTCTAAATCTCTACATGAAGAACAAGTTGGAGTGGGATCCTCATGAACTAGAAATTATTCTGCCTCTGTTTGGCATCCACAAGTCACTATATTACATTTTGTTGTGGAGAAGTGCATCCGCCACTGCGATCCGGCCCTCTATGGCTTATAGATCGCCGTTAATATTTTCTACCTGTTTTGTGTGTCTGTGTGTGATCTCAGTAGTCTAACAACTTGACAAAGAGCCAGCAGAAAACCATGGAGATAAGAGGATAAGGGAGAGTCATCGAATCCAATTCACCGTGACATACTAGTTGAAGGTGAGCAACACGCTTCAGCTAATATGCCGCAGAAAAGAAGATTTTGACGATATGTAGAACCAAACATTTTTAGTTTGTTTTTCACACGCCCATCTTTCTCTTTTTTGTCATTTTCACTGTTTGAAGTATTAAACCTGTGAATCAATATAATACTGTACACAATTCTTCCACTGATTCCGGTGGCGGGCCGTGTGTTCAAGAGTGCTAAGCCACTGGCACTCCTCATCTTTGGGTCCCCATCCTGGAAGACACGCGGGTCCAACAGCGGTTAGACAGGACGTCAGCGATTTCATGTGCTGTCGCCAAGTGGAAGGCTGACCACCACGCGACCGCCTCCAGCCAAGTCCTTGACGAGCGAATAGAGCGCGACGCGGTAGACGCTCAGATGCAATGCGTAGGACGTGACCGGGCCATCTCAACTGGCACAACAAAACCAGTTTGTTGAAGGAAATACTCACATTCCCCAAGATGTGACGTCGAACGTCACTACTATTAACTCTATGTTGCCACCAAACACGAGCGATCCTCCTTAAGCAACCGTTACCGAACGCAGAAGGACGACGCATGTCTTCCACGCGAATCGGCCAGGACTTGCGCCCATACAACAATACTGAGCGAACTGATGCGCTGTAAACGCGGCCCTTTAGCGAGAAAGCGACGACGCCACAAGTGCCTCAGATTGACAAATGCTGATCGAGGTTTAGCGATACGAAGAGAAACTTCTTTGTTAATAGTGCCGTCAGCAGAAACACAGCTTCCAAGGTAGACGAAACTATCTACCTGTTCAAGTTGTGCACCTTCGAGAGTGAGCACGAGAGCAGGTGGAAGCCAATCCTTGAGCAGTACTTTACACTTCGATGGGGCGAAGCTCATGCCATACTTAGATGCTTCGACCGTCAAACGATCCAGAATGAGTTGCATACCCTGAGGATCGTCACCAAGTAAGGCGATATCATCAGCATAATCTAAGTCGGTCGCGCGCTCACCCGGTAGAAGCTCTAGGCTAAAATGTTGGAAACCCTCTAGATCATTCCACAGAACGTCTTCGATTGCGAAGTTGAAGAGGAATGGGGACATAGAGCAGACCTGTCGCACACCGCTATTTACAGCGAATTTTGAGGAAAGCTTGCCATAGACCCTCACTCTGCCGGATGTATGAAGGTAAAGTGCTCGTAAGATAGAGGTATATTTCTCTGGCACCCCGTTCTTTAGCAAGAAACACCATAAAGCAGGTCGATCAACGGAGTCAAAAGCCGCACGTATGTCTAGGAACGCAACGATAGTGGGCCTGTGATAAATGTGGCGATGTTCGAGGAGCTGGCGGAGTGGGAATATTTGATCGACACATCCGCGGCCGGGACGGAAATTAGTTTGTTCTTCCCGGTAGTATGATTTACGTACTGGGGATAGTCTGCGAAGCAGTATGCATGCCAATAGCTTGGAGGCAACCGAAATAAGACTGATCCCGCGATGATTTACATATGATGTGCGAGCACCTTGAAAATCGGGACAATAACTGATTCGCCCCAAGAGGAAGGCACTTTCACTTCATGCCAGATTTTTGCGAACAGCGCGGTCAGCTGGTTACTGATTGCCACACCGCCGTATTTGAATAGCTCCGGAGGAAGTCAGTCTGAGTCGAAAGCTTTGAACCGCTTCAAGCGTCGAATCTGGAGGTAGACTTCCGCTTCGCTGGGTGGATTCATTGGGACGAGCCAGGGTGGACAACAAGGTGTACTGCATGTACTGATGGGTGGTGGAGGCCAGTTGAACTGCGAGTGAAAGTGCTCGGCCCAGTGGTACATACGACTCTGTTGGTTGGTGATCGGAGACTCATCCACCTTAGAAATGACCTCACTGACACCAGGCTTCCTGGGGCCAGTGGACCGAATGAGTCGGAAAAGCCTGCGAGTGTTGCCAGAGAGGGCAGCGGTCTCCATCTCTACAGCACGTTCAGACCACCATGTCTCGCGATCCTTCGTAGGCTTTGCTTGAGCAGCCGGTTGGCAGAACGGCGCCGCTCCTTGCAATCTGATTCCGCGGGGATATCTTTGCGGCGTTCGAACAGCTCCACGGGACGAGCAGAGATCCAAGGCTTTAGGGGGCGTTGAGTTAGGCCGGAACATGACTGTCTGGAAATGGTCATTGTTTTGCGTATTCAAGTCCGGGGTTGCTCCACGTCTTGCGGTGGATTACAACTGAGTGCATATGCCAGTGAAGACTGATAGCTCGTCTGGACAGAGGAATCAGTTAATCTGTTTACATTAATCTTACAGTGCTTCGTGTTTCTGGACCTTCCAAAACGCATACAGATTTTCGCGCAGACCAATGCATGATCTGAGTCAACGAAGGTGGACCAAAAGTACCTGCATCCCAGTACGCTGCCGCGCCATCTGAAGCTAATTGCACTATGATCAATTTGAGACCACGGTTGTGTTGAAGAAGGGAGACGCGACGTATCGGAATGCTTCTTCGTACGCCTGAAGTTAGTGCTTGAGAGAAACCGACGGTTGCCTTCGCACAATGTGAGAAGTCTCTCTCCGTTATCAGAGCGGTTCTCATCGAGCGAGTGATGACCACCAAGGAGACGTTCGTATGGTAAAAGGCGGCCAACCCGTGCATTAAAATCCCCAGGAAGGATAAGGACATCCGACTTTTTAGCATTCCTCAAGAGCTGTTGTAGATCCGGTAGAATTCGTCCTTGACCGAGTCGCCACTGCAGTCAGTTGGAGCGTACACGGAGATCACAAACAAGTTGTGTCTCTCTTCGCGGTGCCTTTTGATTCTACATGAACCGCGAAGCCGAACTGAACATAGTTGGCTGTTAATCGGGAACCAGTTCAGTAGTGCCGTCTCGGCCTTGTCACTTAGTGCTATACCTACATCAGCCAAACCCGCTGATGCTGCTGCTGGATCTCCACAAAGACGCAGGTGATATCTGGCTTCGTGGTCAATGAGGGATGTCTATGTAAGCACAGTGGTGAGATCTTGCAGGCGGGTTTCTGAAAGGCAGCAGACATCAAAGTCTATGGACTCTAGGGTGCTTGCTAAAACGACTTGCTGTCCAATTCTGCATGAGTGTCCGAACGTTGAAGCACGCCAGACGGAACAATATCGGGGACGACGGAGAGCCATAGGTTGAACTACTTGGTCTGCAGCGCAATCGGAATCGCAGCCAGATTGTTGAACACATGAATCGGTTAAAGGAAAGTGAGGATTGTTAACAAACGATACAGTTAGCATGTGATGAAGTAGCGTGAAAGTGACTAGCAGCAACAGTAGCGGATGAACACGTTGTAATACAGTCCACGGTTTTGCGAGAGGCGTGATACTACCTGTTGCCCCAAGCCGAAGTAGGGAGTTGACCTAGGGGACTCCACCGCGAGCCTTTGGCTAAAAAACCTACCCGCAATGCAGCGGGGTGAATTTAGGGAATCGCGCCCATTGAGAGGCGTTGACTGAATGTTCAGTTCATGCGTCTTCGTTTGGTAGATCACCAAACAGGGGCCCAATACATCCCATGAAATCAGCACAATTCTGTAATACAATGCCCCACCGAGGTGATCATTGTCGCTGAACACT